TCTTTTCTTGCTTTGGCATTTTAAGCATTTCGATTTAATCTGTTTGCATAGGTAGATTTCCATGTCGGTATCCGGGAGGGAGAAGAACAGTGGAAGGTTTGCGCAACAGGGATGTAAATCATGGGGATTTTTAACGCGGGAGAATTGGTACAAGAAGCCTTGTATATCCAAGGCACAGGCGTCGTAGGATCTGTCTCCTCCTAGTGGATTTTCCTTGTGAAATTTGAAGTCGCATCCTTTGAAAAATTTCTGGCACGCTGGAGGCCGACGAATCCCACCTCACGAAAAATGAAATCACAATCCTTGTTGGGACATTGGTAGCAAACTCCAAACCCTAGCTCTTTGCAACCATCGCAAAAGAAAGGAACTTGGCTCCTTTTCAACACAAGCTGATGTGGGTGGTCATCTCCATCGTATAGTGTTAGCAGTGATGGCATCTTTTTTCCAATTGATTCTTGCTGGCGTTTCTGCAAAGACAAAGATTGAATTGGATATAATATCATGTATACTTTTATACGTTATATGAATATTTTTTATTTGATCAACTTGATACAAGGAAATAACTTTACACAAGGAAATATATGAAAGAGTGCTATGTTTTCTACAGTCCTAAAGTATTTTTTTTCGGTATTTAAAACGGTCGTGAATTGAGGCACCCGAAGAAGAGTCTAGTTCAATACTAACAGATCACGTAACTGGTGGCAATCTTAAACTCAAGCAAAACTCAAATTGAAAACAAACAACAAGCTGTCATTTTAATCATTCTTACACCTTTCATATATGTTAGATTTAGCATAAACTTGGCTTTAATCAATAACTAAAACCATTGTCACAAGATATAAATATATATATATATGGAAAATCATTTATACACGAGATAGAATTAAAGCTAGAATCTTGCCAATGGTGTGGTAAAGTGTTGAACTCTGGAATGCTTCAAATAAAAAGGAAGTTGGAGTCTTGATGTAGGAATGGTGATGAAAGAACCCTAAATGAGAGTATTTATACACAAATCTCTGCGTTACTGCCTGACTTCCCAAGCAATCCTAGCCTCTTTCATTTGTTAGATCTTCCCCAATTCCGCGTTAATTTTTCTCATTAAGTCTACGTAACAAAGATTAACAAACATAACTAGAAATTTCCCTGTTGAATAGTTTTCTAAGTAATGCTGTTAAGCCTTGATTTAGTTTTCGATTAGAATATAATAAACTAGTCCGCTAGGTTTGTTCCAGCTCAATTGGATCGCGGTTTCCTTTGGTTTGCCTTTTATAATCTAAAAAGACATTAAATTAATAAGTTATGGAAAAATAATTTTTTATGACTTCATTAAACCTATTTAGACTTTGATTGATCCAAATATAGACCAAACAATATGAAATATGATACAGTTATACGATACAAAAATGATATGAATAAAAAATAGGAGATAACACAACTTGAAATTTTAAAAAAATCATAAATAAGTTTAATAAAATCAAAAAATTATATTTTATATTTTCATATCGACATGAATTGTGACACGCGATTTTCATGTAAAACATAATAATAATAATATAGTATTTTACACGAAATGGTAACACGAATTAACAGATCTATCCGAGTAGAGAATATATTGAGCAAGTCTTTGTCGCTTAACAAAGAAGAAGACATTAAATTAATAAGCTAGTAGTATGAAAATTGATCAAGTCAACAATTTAATCATTTTAAAACTAAATTTCAATTTAAAAATTTCAAGTTCATGCGTTACATCAAGGAATGTGTAGGGTTCTTTCTTATTTCTATGTACAGTTTAGAAAAAACCGTAAATGACATGCTTTCAAAATTAAAAGAAGACTATGTCAAAAGGTGAGACCACATCGTTGACTCACTCCCACAAAAAAAAACATATATTTAGCGAGACCTGTTTACAATAAAAGTATTCTTTTTGTCAATATCATATTTGATGGAATTAGATTGATATACATAGTTACCATTTTTTTGGATATCAATTTTATCTAAATTCGACTGGAAATCCGATTTTCTATCTTAATGGGAATGGATATAAATATTAAATTTTGGAGATAAAGTTGGAGATAAGTATGGTTTGAACTATTTTATCAGATATAAGTATGGGGATGAGTAATATAGCATTTATCTCATGCTTGTACCATATATATTTAATAAAATAAATTTTATTTTTTATTAGGACTAATATATTTGTATTTAAAAATACATATTAAAAAAATTTTATTTTAATGTGTAAGACAAAAATAAAATTTTTTTTTTTTTTTTTTTTAAAAAGCTATATATACAGATATTACTTATAGTCATTAAATACCATGGAAATAAGAGTGAGAATGAATTTAAAATACACATTGAGTGTAGATACAATGATAGACATAATAAAAAAAAAAAAATTAAGGATGATTAAGAATGCTCTACCCACCCCATATTCTTCCTATTGACATTTCTAACTATTTTTTCATCCTTAAGAGAGAAATAAGGAGGAAGAAGTAAAATGAGTGAATTTCGTGTTTCTCTTCTCTTAAAATTCTTTTTTTTTTTTTTTTCTCAAATGGAAGAGTAAAACACTCATTCAATTTAAATTAACAACAAAGAAAAAAATATTTTTCTTTCCTCTCCTTCCTCTTTTCTTTCATATTTTTTTTCTTTCTTTTAATTTTCCTCCTTCCTATCAAACATATATAATATAAATGAAATAGAAATACCCAAATACATGGAAAAAATTTAATTTTTTGGAACGTCCAAAAAAGCAACATATTCATTTTAATTCTTGAGTCAAATTACAAAACTATTTAATAAAGCACAAAGTTCAAGCGTAAAGCTTTATTGCCGATCCTTGTTCTTAAATTAAAAAAAAAAAAGTACCCAATTTAATAGGAAAGATAACAGGGAAGAGCCTACAAACAAACAAATATATGATTACTAGTTCTGATCATAAATTTGAAACAAAGTAGAAATTAAAGTCAATGGCTCTCCAAATATAGCTGAAACGACCAGCTTGAGAAATATGATCAACCATTTGATACCGTTCATTGCATTAGAGCTTTGGCCCCCATCTCGGACGAGCGCAACTTCTTTTGGAGCAAGATTTTGCAATGCAAGGCTTTTGTTCTTATCATCAGCAATAACATCAGGTTGAAAATAACCCTTTTTCCAATTCTCCAGACAGGCTTCTTTCAGACAGGCCACATGGTAACAGAATTTACCATCCGAAGAAACATAGGACAAACCCTGGGCTTTGCCTGATGACCTTTTCTTGCTTTGGCATTTCAAGCATTTCGATTTAATCTCTTCGCATAGGTAGATTTCCATGTCGGTATCCGGAAGAGAGAAGAACAGTGGAAGGTTTGCGCAACAGGGATGTAAATCATGGGGATTTTTAACACGGAAGCATTGGTACAAGAAGCCTTGTATATCAAGGCACAGGCGTCGCAGGATCTGTCTCCTTCTAGTGGATTTTCCCTGTGAAATTTGAAGTCGCATCCTTTGAAAAATTTCTGGCATGGCGGAGGTCGACGAATCCCACATTCCTCAGGAGAATGAAATTGCAATCGCTGTTGGGACATTGGTAGCAAAGTCCAAATCCTAGCTCTTTGCAACCGTCGCAAAAGAAAGGAAACTTCGCTCTTTTTCCACTCAAGCTGATACGGATGACCATCATCGTTCAGTTTTAGCAACGTTGGCATCTTCTTGTTGGATTTTCTGCAAAGACAAGATTTACTTGAATAATCTATTAAAAAGAATAAGTTTGAATTGAATATAATTTGTACTTATATGCTCTATGAATATATTAATTTGATAAACTAGATGCGAAGAAATATATGCAAATATCATTTGCATTCATGGCATATAAAATTCAAATTTTGAATTTTGTAATCAATAAAAAATACTTCTAATTCATCCATTCTATAATTGGTAGTGATGTAACAGGAACATGACAGATTTTCGTTCGCCTGAAAAAATATATACTCAAATCCAATATTAAAATATTAGTTTTTCATACCCGATTTAACCCAATTCGCATATATATAAAACAGCAAACAACCTGAAATTAATAAAAAATTTTAATATAAAATATTTTTTAATATAAATATAATTTTAAATAAATATAAAAAATTAAATATATATAAATATAAATTAAATAAATAATAAAAATATTTTATATGTACAAGGTTGAACTGAAGTAGATTTGTCTAAAATGTAACCTAATCCAATCCTTTTTTTTTTTTTAATCAAACCCAAACCAAAACTTAATTTTAAAAAAATTAATTTTATAGGGTCGAATCAGATCGAAACCCACTAACAACATAAATTCAATGTCACACAACATAAATTCAAAATCAAAAATTATCGACCACATGGACATTCAAGTATCCGAATCCACTTATTTTGCCACACATAACATTGAAGTGGATTTCATTTAGTTGAATTAAAGATCAATAATGAAAATAAAATATTACACAAAAATCATAAATATATTACCTTGATTAATTAGATACAAAGAAATATAAATGTTTATCTGATCGGTGAAGGCTCAAAGATGCAAGAGATATAATGAAAGCTAGAGTGGAAGGAATATTTGAGGAATGGAGATAAAAGAGGCCTAAGTATTTATAGCAAAAATTCTTTGCATAGCCGCGTGATTGCTACCCATATAACTTGCAATTCTCTTCCATTTGTTTATTCTAATTCTACCATTCCGTGTCATTTTTTTCTCATTATTCTAGAAACAGATTAAATCAACTAACACAATTAAAGGTTTATTATTGTTGTATGTGTGAAATCGTAATAAAATTATTCAATTTAAAATTAATTGATTGGTATATAACATTATAGTAAATCAAAGATTTAATCAGGTCAAGAATTTTTCTTTTAAGTCTTCCACATATAATATATATAAAAATTATCAACTTAGTTACTATTTGTTAACGAAAAGAGTATCCATGAAAAAGTTTTGAGGTGTTAAAGGAAATTTTTTCTTTTAAATTTATTTTTATTTTTCAATTTTTTAGATTGTCCATACTAAAGGTAAATCCGCTTCTAGAATTAATAAATCTGAAATAATATATCTTAATAGACTCTATCACAAATAAACATAATATTATGGTGACAAACTCAGAAATGGTACAAGGTACAAATTAGTAAATAAAACCCGATTCTGATATCATATTAAAGCATTCAATTTGATTATAAATAAATAACCTAATTTAAATATAAAAAAATAAAAAATTGAAAATCTAATAGACGTGGGATAATATTAAGCTAACAACTAAATTAAGTTTTTAATTAGAATATGATAAATTATTCTTCTAGAATTATTCCATTTAATTATACGGAGGTTTCTTAGCTCTATTTTTTTCTAATAAACAAGGAATTAAATAATTATATTCAGTTTACTATTAAAATTTAAGTCAACAATGTTATTTAAAACTTTCTGTTTAAATTTTCCAATTTGAGAAGTTACATGGTAAAGAATATATGTATGGTGTCTCTGTTTTTTTTTTTTTTCTAAATTACAGCAAAAGAAAACATTTAAAAATAAAAGTAATTAAATTAATTGCTTTAATTTCAAACCTTAGACGACTAGGTCAATTTTTTGGACCCAATTGTCCTAGCAAAAGTTGAAGAACATTTATATTTTTTGTTGACTTGGGAGACTCTAATACACTCAATTTTTCTTCAGTCAATGGCCAATGAAATAAATGCTCAAGCTATTGAATTTGTCATATGCATTTTTTTTTTAAAGGGTCAACAAAATGTTGGTTGGAGTATTATCGATAATGTTGGCTCAACTGTTAAATTTGTTCGCTTCAACATCCACGTAAGTAAACATTGAATTTGAATCCGATAATCAATTAAGAGATAATATTTAATAGATTCTTATATCCCAGATTAGAATTTTTTATCGATAAAAAAAATTATCCCCCTTCGTTAATTTTAAGCTTTGCCCATTTAATGATCAAGATAAAAAAAAAGTAATTAAAAACAAGTAAACTTGTTTAATAGTTTTGATTGATTATCTATCTAAACTTAAAAGTTCGTTCAAGTTTTGAAAGAATTTAGATAAAAAAATTAAATCATTTAAACAAGCTTAAACACAATCTTTAGGCTCGTTTAAATTTTGAGCCTAATCTTGAATAAAAAATTTAAAGTTTGAACTTAGCCCAATCTCATTCGGATATATATATATATATATATATATATATATATATATTATTATTTATATATAATATGAATTATATATAAATTAATTCGCATATATAAAAATTAAAATTAAAAATATGCATTTTATTAAACTTGATTTTTATTTTTATATAATTTTTATTTTTTTATTTATATATATTTTTTATTTTTTATTATTTTATATGTATGCAAAATTGAACATAATTCTATTAAACTTAATTTAATCATATTTTTTAAAAAATTTTTGTTATATAAATTAAATCTAATGAGTGGGTGTTGATTTATTTTTCTAGTTGGGTTGGACTTGGGAATATTTTGAAACCCAAAATTTTAAATTGGGTCGGATCTAAACAAATATATAATAACAAGCATAAACCCATCCCGGCCCGGCCATGAACACTTCTAATAACAATTAAAATCTTACAATTTAAGTAATTGACAAGGCTGTCCAGATTTACAAGCAATAAAAATCTTTGCTAGGAAAGACCCAACACACAACCAGCAGCCAACTGCAAAGCACTCCCCAAAATGGCATTGACTATTAGGTCTAGAGCACATCCCACACAACAGCCTCTTTTCTTCTTTCTCCCACTTTCTTGTTTGATGAATACTAAGCTAATATTCCCACCATTTTGTTGACTATTGAAACAACCCCAATTCTCAAAATTCATGTGATTTACACAACCAACATGGTAACAATGTTTGCCACAAGTTGAAACATAAGCCCAACCTTTTACTTTACCCGAGATTTTTTTGTGTCGACATATCAAACACTTGGACGAGGCCTTGTCTTTAAGATTAAGAATCAACCCTCCTTCACCATTCAATGTGTTTGGGAGCTTCAAACAGCAAGGGTGCAAATATGCTTTCTTTGATTTGTACATGAAACCTCGAATATCTTTCCCACATGCTTTACAACGCTTACCATGTTTTCTTTTCTTTCGAAACTCGAAGATGCAGTTGTTGAAGAACGGATGCGTGGCCAAAGGATCAGCCATAGCACATTTCTCATGAAGATGAAAGTCACACTTGGTTTTCTTGTTACACTGATAGCATGAACCAAATCCTTCTTGTTTGCATCCATCACAACGATAAGGCTTTTGGCTGTAACTCAGCTCTAGCTTGTGGCGATGACTAAAATGCTCTATCTCGGTAACTTTCATGTCTTCGCACATGGAATTTTTTAATTTCTTTTCGAAATCTCAAGCTTGTTTTCACGGCTTCTCTTTTATTATTTTTTCACAAATTCAATACCTGTTTCAAAGATGAAACAATTTTTGTTTTGGAAAATTAGAGCACTATATGATACAATCAGAGTTACATGATTTAACTAAAGCAGACAAGAAGAAAACTCATTAATGATCAAAACAAAAATTGTAAATCAATTAACAAGTAAAATCTTACATTTTAAAACTCGAAACCTAACTCAATTGGTTAATACAACCAATATCACCAGTGACGTCCGGCTGCAACCTCCGGCTGAGATTTTAAGTAATTAAAAAGTATAGTAAATGCTTTTGAGCTCGGCAATTCACCTGGTTTCATGGCAGATTTATAGCTCTATAAGCAGCCAACAGGCAAAAAAGGAAACCTGAGTTTAGTTAACTAACTGAAGTTTGATTTCCTTCATTGCCAGGAAAGTTCAAATTGTCAATTAAAGATTGTTGAATTGTGAGAATTTTCTCCATGGCCAATTTTTCCAACACAAGCTGGCTTGAGTGGTCATTTCCATCGTTTAGCGTTAACAGTGATGGGCGACTTTTCTAGTATGTTTCTTGTTGGCGGTTCAGCAAAAGACAATGATTAAATTGAATATGATATCTTATATGTATGTTATATGAATCTATTTAATTTGATCAACTTGATACAAAAAATATATAATATCAATTCATGTTTTTTTTACTAAAATAACAAAAAGTTCTTTAATTTTATTATTTTATTTAAATAAGTTTTTATATTTTTATTACATCCAAATAAACTTTTAAATTTTATTTAATTTGTATCCAAATAAACTCTAAACCTTTATTTTGTACCTAAACAAGCCCTTAATAAAAATTAATCTTTTATTTGAAATAAGAGTTTATTTGAATATAAATAAAAAATAAAAAATTATTTTGATACAATAAAAATATATATATAACTTATTTAGAAAAAGTAAAATAGTTTAGGAATTTTTTAGAATTTTAGCCTTTTCCATAAATCTAGTGTTTTTTTTTAATTTTATTTTCAATTATCAAAGTTATGATACAGTCCAATCATTTACAAATGGGTCGCATAACTATTGGTCGTCCTAAACTATTTCAGACCAAAACAAATTAAAAATGAACAACAAGCTTTCATTTTAATAATTTACGGGACCTTTCATATATATATTAGATTTAGCATAAATAAACAAGCTTTCATTTCAATAATTTACTGGATCTTTCATATATGTTAGATTTAGCATAAACTTGCTATAATCAACAATTAAAACTGTTGTTACAAGAACTATATATATATAAAAATGGAAACAATTAAAATCAATATATAATTAACCTTCTATGAGCATACCAACAAAGTTGGACATGAGCTTGGCAATTCACCTGGTTTTATGGCAGATTTACAGCTCTATAAGTAAGCAACAGAAGAAAGGAAACATGAGCTTAGTTAATTAACTGAAGTTTGGTTTCCTTTATTGCCAAAAAAAGTTTGTCATATTATGATCTTTGTGAGAATTTTCTCTATTACCATTTTACCAAGACATGTGTATCAATTTGATTCCAACTTTCATGTGGAGTGAGTAACCAATTAGCCACTCAATTACTTGCCCTTTTCCTATTTTGCTTTGATTTTTTTGGTCTTTTGAGAGCTTCCTTTTTCAACTTGTTCTAGATTGGATTGGCATAGCTTTCTATGATGTTGATTTACAAAGATGTGTGGATGGATTTAGGTCTACTAGCACAATTTCTCAGAAATTTACAAGGATTAAGCTCTGGGTGTTTTCTGCATCAAAAGAAAACAATTGTGTTTGATTTAATCCGTAATTTGAGGATAAAAAAAATTTATAAGTATTACAATTCAAATTATAAACCTGTTGAATATTATCTTGCATAGCTAAATACATGAGTCAACTGAATTAAGTTACTGGTTCATTAGTGACGTTAATTAAATTGTTAATAAGTTTCATTTTGAACTATACCTATCAAAATCAGATATTATAATATGAATTTATTGATTACATTATATAAACACAATATTGGCTACCAATTAAAAAAATGCTAAATACCCAAATAAACTTTAGATTTTACTCCAAATGCAAACAAGCCCTTAGTCTTTTATTGCATTAAACTAAGACTATATATAAAATTTTATTTTTATTGTAATTATACATATTAATTCTTTAAATGGATAATAATATCCCATTGACATAAGTTTTAAAGTAACATTTGTTCCCTCAAATATTTATTGTTCAACTCATTTAAATAAATTTAAATATGCATTTTTTACAAATTAAATCACCTAACTAAAAAAATTTAAACAAAACTGAATATTTTATACCGTCAAGGATCTAACTACAATAAAATAAAAATTTATACCATTAATTTCATGCAATAACAAGTCATGAACTTATTTCTAATTTTTAATAAAGTTTAAGAACTTATTTGAGTATTATCCCTTAAAAAAACTATTAAGCACCTTCATATATATTATGTTAGCAACAAGCATAAGAAGCAAGTACTAACAAAAATCCCAAACATATGAATTTCTTTATCAATTACTATACTTTTTTAAAAATAAAATTCAGAGATATTGAACCAATTCTTTTTTCTATTTTCTCTTTTTTTTTATAAAAGTTATAAATAAAATTATAGATTCCCTTGATGCAATGAAAATTTTTGTTAATGATATTATTGACAATGACAAAAATTTGTAAAAATCTTGATAAAACATTGGCAAGAGTTAAAATATAGGCTTATAATTTTAGATACAACAAAAAAAATAATATTATAAAAAATATCAAAATAAAATAATTCAAAATTATTATAAAATATATATAAATTTAATAAAAATAAAATTTATATATTTTTTATCAGCACAAATTATAATATAATAACTTTTATATTTTACATATATTTAATACAAAATAATCACCGTATGGATATATAAGTTACAAGGACCATTAAAGTATTGGAAATTCAAAATTACTAAATTGCCCTCAAAGAAAAAGTTTAAAAACTTGAACGTTAATAGAGCAAGCCATCAGGTTTTCAAGAAAAAGAGGCGCCATGAACCAAAAATTTGGGGCAGCAAAACGGCCCACCGGGACTCCATCTCTGGCCTGGTCGTGCGTCGTCGTCATTGCTTCACTCCTTGCCGGCGCCTCCGTCGTCCACAACATTTACAAGCCTGATCTCGTAATCACTTCTCTATTTACTTTTCTTCGTTTCTTTTTAATGTATTTGTTTCTTGGATGATATTGAGCACCCTTAAAATGTTCGACGAAATGTCCCAAACACCGTGTTGGCTACTGAAGTCTTGAAACTTGAAATGGCTAATAACCCAGTATCATCTAAATTGCAGTAGTCTTTTGTATATTTTTCTTATAAATAATTTTCATTCTATTCTTTGTTAATGGCTTTTGTGACTTTGGTTATGCAGACACTACCAATGGTTGAAAATGTGGATGAGGTTAAGAAGAAACAACCTGACAATAAAGTATGAGCATATTTCTTTTCTAGCTATTGTTAGTGTCTCAAAGGACATTAATTTCCCCTAAATGCTTGCAACTGCTTCTAATTTTCTAGAATGTTTGGTTTGTATTATTGTATGAATTCTTTGTCTGAAGCTAAATATTTTGTTTTATACTGTTCCATCGTGTTATATATATATATATATATATATATATATATATATATATATATGTCCCTTTTGATTTTAATAAACTAGTTTGAGAAAATTTTGATTTTAGTGTATTTATGTGAAAATTTTAAATTTTATTTATAAGATTGATGTTCCTTGATTTTTAATGCTGAAAAATATAAAATATATGAAAAATATATTTGAAAATATAAAAAATGTAAAAGTTTTAAGTGTTTAAAAAAATTGCAAGCAAAAGATCTTAGAATTTTGAGATTCAAGTGCGTTAGGATGTTTAATTATGTTTTAATTTATTAGTACGTCGATTATTCAATTTATCATATAATACTTTATTATAATTGTACTTTAAAAAAATCAATTTGAAACATTAAAAAAGACAAAAAAAAATGAAAATTAAGTTAAAAATAACTAAACCAAATTTTAAAATAATTTGAAAAGAAGATTACATCTAAATATGATAATATATATGTTCGAATCATATTCGTATTATGTCAAATATGTATAAAATATAAAAAAAAAATTATTTTTATCAAATTTATATATAAATTTTATTAAAATTTTAAACTTTTTATTTTAAATTGTTTTGATTTTTTATATTATTTTTATATATTATTATCGTTTCATATTTAAAATTATAAAATCTAATTACTTCCAAATAAATTCGAAAAAATTTCTACCATCTTATGGAACGAAAAACTTATTAAAAGTTGGATTTTATTCGGTATTGGACTTTGTTTACATTGAAAAGTGGGCCTTGAATTGGGCTTTTATCTAAGGAGAAAAGAAATCCTAATGCCTATTAATAAAAGGAAAAAAAAAACTCGATTTATTTGCAAATTACATTCTCTCTCCTTCTTCTATCTTCCTTTTTACATCACAACCCTCTTTAGCTGCCGGTTCAACTCACGCGCCACCGCCGCCGATCATTCTCTCAAGTTTAATTGAGTCTTAATTTTCAGGTTTGCATCCTTTAAAGACAAAAATATAATCTTTTCCCTGTTTCTTTTTTTTTAATCTTAATTTCTTTTTTCTAGGGTTTCCGATTTGCCACCCAATGGGAAAAAACGATTTCCTAACACCCAAAGCAATCGCGAACCGAATCAAAGCCAAAGGTCTCCAGAAGCTTCGATGGTACTGTCAAATGTGCCAAAAGCAATGCCGAGACGAAAACGGATTCAAATGCCATTGCATGAGCGAATCTCACCAGCGCCAAATGCAAATCTTCGGGCAAAACCCGGACCGGATCTTATCCGGATACTCCGAAGAGTTCGAACAAAACTTCCTCGACCTCATGAAACGCAGCCACCGGTTCAGTCGCGTCGCCGCCACCGTCGTTTACAATGAGTTCATTCATGATCGACATCACGTTCATATGAATTCGACCCAGTGGGCTACTTTAACGGAGTTCGTCAAGTATTTGGGACGGACTGGGAAGTGTAAGGTCGAAGAAACACCCAAAGGTTGGTTTATTACTTATATTGATAGAGATTCAGAGACTATTTTTAAGGAAAAAATGAAGAATAAAAGGATTAAATTGGATATGGTAGAGGAAGAGAAACAAGAGAAGGAAATTCAAAAGCAAATTGAAAAAGCTGAGCAGCTGAAAATGCCTTTGGAATCTGAGGAGAATTCAAAACAGCCTGTCACCAAAGAGCTGAATTTGGAGAGTGGAGTGAAAATTGGGTTTACTTTAGGAGGGGGAAATGTCGCGAAAGGGGAGAGTTCGAATAATGCGAGGTTGGTTTTTGAAGAGGAAGAGAATGAAAACAAGAAGAAGAATGAGGAGAAAGAGAACAGTGGTAGAAAAAATGCGTTGGAAGAGTTGATGAGGGAAGAGGAGAAGATAAAGGAGAGAAGCAATAGGAAAGATTATTGGCTTGGTGAGGGTATCATTGTGAAGGTGATGAGTAAAGCATTGGCTCAAAGAGGGTACTATAAGCAGAAAGGAATTGTGAGGAAAGTGATCGATAGGTATGTAGGGGAGATTGAAATGCTTGACAGTAAGCATGTGTTGAGAGTTGATCAGGAAGAGCTTGAGACTGTGATTCCGCAAATTGGGGGAGTGGTAAGGATAGTAAATGGGGCATATCGTGGGTCAAATGCAAGGTTGTTGGGTGTGGATACAGAGAAGTTTTGTGCAAAGGTGCAGATAGAGAAGGGAGTGTATGATGGGAGAGTGCTTAAGGCTATCGAGTATGAGGATATATGCAAAGTTGCTCAGTGAGTTCTGCCTAGAATTTTGGCTTATAGTGATGAATTTGATATTTTTGCTCTTTATCAGTTGTTCCTCGAAAACAATCTATAGCTTTGCAATGCATGGTTCTTGTTTGGTAATGTATCATTTGCTTGATAAATGCTAAGAAACTGTGTATAAAACTTTCACTGTCCTGAAGTCTTCTGGAACATTTCAGCATTCTGAATTGGTAAAATTTTCAGGGATCTAATGGTGAGTAAAGTAGTTTATTTATCAATTTTTATGCTACTATGCAAATTTTATTGTTTCTTGTCCTTTTGTTTTCTCGTTAGCTTAAGTGAATGGAGCTTATGTACCTAGACATTCAATTGCAAATATATTGCCTTAAACTTGACCATATAAGAAACTAAGTACTCCTCTGATTCAAATCTTCCATGGAATGCCTTAATGTGCTGACAAATATTTTCTAAAGTGGGTTCTTGTGGCCCTAACTTACATTGGCGGGATAGCTAATACTACAAAATTAAGATTCTTTATTTTCTACTTCTACATTTGGTTACTTGTGGTGGCTTGTGGAATGGCTTTGTAGCTTGAGAATTATTAGATCGCTGAAATACTGGAAAACTTACTTTTTATTTTAGTTAGAGATCGAACCTTAATGCATTGGTTCATCACAAGGTTGATATTAGTTAGGTTACAAAGCCAACTGATGAGCTAGGCTTTAAATATATGGATGATGAAGAGTGCTGAAGGCTAGAGTTTGAGGCTATATGGATAGCTTCACAGTGAGATCCAGGTAGAATATCAGCTTAGTTTTATGGAATTTTATCTATTTGTATCAATGGTTCCTCATAGAATTCAGTAGCTTGTGCAATGCATGGTTCTTCCGGTTTATTCATGTATTATTTTTGTGATATGTTCAAAACCTCTGTTAATGATGAAAGAAAAATGTGTTTCGAAGTCTATAAAATTTTCTACTTATTTTTTTTATTTAGGTAGCTGAAGTGTGCACTCAGAAGTGAAGGGAGCCATCTTACTTCAAAATTCAAATGCAAATATATTGCCTATATCATGTAAAAAGCTGGAAAATTTCTGCTGTTAAAGATCATTCAAATTGTTATGGAATGCCTTTATGCACTGATATGTTTTCGCTGGAGTTGGTTCAAGGGGAACTAATTTACATACACAAGATGGCTTTGCACTATAATGTTATGAATATCCACCATGTTTATATTCAGTGTTTTCGAGTCATAGAGCTTGTTAGAACATGAATATATCACACAGCATTCTTTCATTTTCTAACTCAAACTGATACGAGCATATCTCTTATGAACTTTATGATAGCAGAGTCTTGTTTGATTCCAATGTTATCACTTGTCATGCTGTTATTGAGTGTGATGTAGTGTTTTGGCAGAAAATTAGTTGAAGAAAACAAAGGAAAAGACAATGGTGGATTTCCATTGCTATTGTTTTGGACATTAATCATGCAATCTGTTATAACATGTATTCTTTGTCTATTCTCCTGTTATGGAATGCCATGTCCACAGCATCATCGACTATGTTGATTCTAAACTGTTTATCATCTAAAACAACAATGATCAGCTTAACAGGGGCGGAGACAGCGGTGAGGGGTGGCTCCATGGTGGCAGCGGCTGGCGGCCACCTCTACTTAAGAAAAGGCTAAGGGTTGAGCCTACACTTATATTATCAGATAATCATAATGATATGAGAATGGTGGCCAGTGAGAGTACTAATCTACTACAATGAATTGATGGGTACATAAATTTCTTGGTTGGGGAAGTAGTGATCTGCTTTTGGCTCTTCTATTTAGTTATGGACCAACGATCAACCACTCACATGAATATATATTAAGTTGGTGATAAATTGAATAAATTATGTATGTCCAAAGCAAAAGGAGTGTGTGTGCCAATCCCTTCATTTTGCTCAAGTGGTGGGATGAAGCAAAATTTTAAGTGCCTACTTGAAATTCAACCGTTAGAATTAGTTAAATAAATATTAAATTGGTAATTTTAAATATGATACAAATAATATAATAAAAATTTTAACAAAAAAATTTTATGAATTTAAAAAAAATAAAAAACTGTATTTGAATTTAACATATATCAGGAATTTGTAATAATAAATTTGATACAATAACTTTCATGTTTTAAATTTGTTTAATATTGTTTAACATGAATGTGATAAACATATAAAGAATAGGATAATGCATATTGGTAAAAAAATTGAGGTTATGTGATGAAAAATAATCTATGATATTGTAATTATTATAGATTAATTGTAATGCTATCCTTATAAATACTATGTTCTCTTTCTGGCAAGATAGATGACGTGTTCAGATCATCACCGTTCAAAGCAAGATCTCATAAGTGGATCACACAAATCAAGTCATATATGTTGAGCAATTAAAGATGGGGTGTCATCGGCCTAGGTAGTTTTCTCTCCCACGCCAACCATAGGCCTTTAATGTATACAATCTCAATGCCAGCGCTCCCATTTCCTAAACTATAAACCTGACAGACAGCTTCTCACTTTTTTTCACCAAAAAGCTATAAATTTTGAGATCTCCAAACTCGAAAAATCCAACTTTTCCAAGCTTGAAGCTTCAAAGGGTTTGTTCCTTTAGCCATAACAAAAATTGGGTATCTTTTGTTTTCAGAAAGGATGAAGGTCACTGTAGTTTCACGCAGTGGAAGAGAGTTTATCAAAGGAGGCCTTGAGCTTCATGACTTAGTAAGTCTTTTCTTTTTCTTTCTTGGGTTTTACTTCCTTTTGTGTTTTATAGTGTTAGGCTGATTGCTTGTCTGGAAAAATGAAGGGAAAGAAAGGCAATTTATTATGTTTCTTCTTTCTTTTTTTTGCAGGCTACTGTGGCTGATTTGCAGGAGGCAATTCACAAGAGAAGTAAGTGATTTGCTTTCTTGTTTGTTGATTAAGTGTTACTTAACAAAACAAGGAGGAAATAATAGTCTTGTAACTCTAGATTGGGCAAAATAATTGCATGTTTGTGGGAATTTCCTGTAATTCTTTTTATTTGCATATTGTATTGCATGGATGTTCTAATCTAGTTGACTCTTGAGTGATGAAGTAACTAGACACATTCGATAAAATTATATTTACTTATGGATACTTAACAGATATCACTAAGGTTGATTTTTTTTTGTTCCTTGAAATGTATTCTTCAGATGTCATGTACCAGCAGTAAATTCCTCATGCAAGTAGGGCACTTTTTTGTGCTATGTGTATTATCTTAGGGTTATTAGTTACTCCATTTCCAGTCAGTGAAACGTTTTTATTTTTCACTCAAATATTTGGTAGATTTTATGTTTCAATTCTTCCTCCTATTTGAGTTTCAGATGCTTTGGTAAAATAGATATGTTTATTTCATATTGATGGGAAAGAAATTCTTGCCAATTGCAGTGTGCATTACTGTGCTGCCTGCTTTCTTATGCCAAAAGGGGTTTTATGGGTTTGTTTTTAATTTGGCATCAGAGCACTTACGAATTCCAACATTTTGATAAACTTTTATGCCTTTTTATTGTCATCTTGAGTCTTTCCCCCCAATTTCTCAAGGGATGTGTCTCTGATTGCATGCGTGTGGGCAGCTTCATTGATCATTGGATTCTTATTAACTGAGTTCTCATGTGTGGTACTAGCAGCTAAAAAGTTCTATCCTTCAAGACAAAGACTCACACTTCCAGTGCCATCAGGTTCAAAGGTGCGGCCTGTTGTTCTTAGCTACAAGAAGAGTCTCAAAGACTACTGTGATGAAAACCAAAACAACATAACTGTAGTGTTCAAGGACCTGGGTCCACAAGTATCTTATCGTACACTTTTCTTCTTTGAATACTTGGGTCCTTTGACCTCTATCCCATCTTCTACTACTTCCCTGTGTACAAGTTCTTTGGCTATGAAGGGGAGCGTGTCATCCACCCTGTTCAAATATATGCTTTATATTACTGGTGTTTCCACTACTTCAAACGTATTATGGAAACATTCTTCGTCCACCGCTTCAGTCATGCAACATCTCCACTATCAAATGTCTTCAGAAACTGTGCTTATTACTGGACCTTTGGATCTTACATTGCTTACTATGTAAATCACCCACTTTACACACCTGTTAGTGATCTTCAGATGAAGATTGGTTTTGGGTTTGGGTTGGTTTGTCAACTTGCAAACTTCTATTGTCATATCATTCTGAAGAATCTACGCAGCCCTGATGGTAGTGGAGGGTATCAAATTCCTCGTGGGTTTCTGTTCAACATTGTGACATGCGCAAATTACACAACAGAGATTTACCAATGGCTGGGTTTCAATATTGCTACACAGAGTGTTGCAGGTTATGTATTTCTTGTGGTTGCTACTTCTATTATGACAAATTGGGCCCTTGCAAAGCACCGCCATTTGAAAAAGGTATTTACCTTAGCTTTTGTGGCTGAACGACTAAACCAAATAACCTTTGTGCATGCCATTAGAGTTGCCTTCATTTTCAACACCAAGTGAAATCTCTTACTTCTGCCGCCCTGCCTTTCCTTTCTGCCTAAAACTGAAAGTAAATTAGATCAAGATATGTTGGTTTTTTATTTAATTTGCAAAGTACATACAGGATTAGAATTTCTTTGAGTAACATTGAGTGATTTGCTTCATTATGCTAAATGCTAGTCAAATGTATCGCAAAAGCCTATGTAGAATTCTAGAAGTTCATGTATGATGCATGTCAGCACACTTGTTCATATCACTTATATTGAACTCGGATCAAATTTAAGACAAGGAATTCATATCCAAGTAAATAAACTGTTTAGCACTCTGCTTACCATTTTGGATCAAGTCCTTTAAAAACCAAAATTGCCACCACAATTGCTCGAACGACTGCCTCCTTATGGTTGCGTGTTTTGCTTTATATCATTTTGTCTTTGTCTTTGTTTTGTTAATAGAAACATCTCCATTCTGTAAATCTTTAGTTTTTATTGTGTTTTACTTTTAATAAACTTTCCCCTTACCTTTGACTTCTTATTACTCACAGCTATTTGACGGTAAGGAAGGAAGGCCGAAGTATCCGGGCAGATGGGTAATTCTCCCTCCATTCCTGTAGAATTGATGGGTGAGCCTCCTATTCATTGGTCTTTTTGATATAAGTTTCTGTTCTAAAAGCATGGTTTCAAGTTCATGGAAGATCAATTCTTGCCATATATGAACTTAAGATCACTCCTCAAAAAATTGTTTGGATTGATTTTAGGTTTCTGTTTAGACAATGTAATGTATCTGGAATGCATTAGAATGGTTTTTTTATCTCTCATATTTATTCCTCAAATCAGATCAACTTGCTTTTCTGTGTGAAAGAAAAACAATTTTTCTATTTATATAGAATCATTAGTGTTGTTGTTTGAATTGATTATCTCTATTCTATCAATATTCAATTGCACAAGACAGATGCTAGTGTCTGAGCTGATGGTTTTGACAACTACAATTCCTCGGTTTTGCATTTTCGTGTTTTTACACGTGTTTTGACATAAAATAGATGCGACACAGATACATGAACGGTCCCTATTTTTAAAATGAGAAAGGTGGCAATGGCAGTAGGAGGTTTGTTAGTCGCTAAAGTAATGGTAGTTAAATGGTGACGGCAAAATCAAACCCCAAAAGTAAGTCTTTGGAGTTACTTGACAGACGTGTTCTGATTTGAGTTCTTTAAGTATGATTTCAAGTTTCAAAATTTAATGCGGAAATTATGATTATGAAACTTGTCCAATCATCACATTACAACACAACAATATCCCAACTGACCAAGTATTTGCTTTTCATTTTTCAATGGCCGCAAAACGTAATATACTTTTGAAAAGGAATGGAAAATGGAAAAATACACCAAAGAATCTTATCATATTCATAATGTTTTAGAACTAATTCAGTTTGGTAACAACTTTTGACCCAAAATATATGATTTTTAGAGCTGAATTCAACATCATATAATATATTTTTTTAATTGAAAAAATGGTCCATTGGGCTTTTGGGTTGGAAGAGTTGCCCCCACAAAGCTTTGAAGTACATACATATTTGTTTGAAAGCAACCTAACAGAAAGAACTCCATTAAATGCCGTAGATCTTATCATTTATATATTTATATCACGTAAAATATTAATAATTTATGTATTTATTTTATATTTTATATAAAAATTATATGTTATAATTTATATTGATATAAAAATATAAAATATAATTTTTTTATTTTATTAAATCTACATATAATTTTTGCTAAAATTTTAAGTCATTTAACATTCATATATTTTTTTCATATAATTTTCATACCATATTTTAGATTATCAAATTTTTAAATCATTCAAAGTTGTCAAATTTTTTTTTATAAGTCATTCAAATTGGTATTGAAAAATATGAGATCATAGCCGACGTGAAGGAAAGATGAAAATCCCATCAAAATTGATGCAAAAAATAATTATATTCTTCGAAAATTTAGTGGAAATAGCCTAAGTTTTTTCTTTTCTTTTTCTTAATGCCAAGAAGAGGTTTATGGTAATCCATTACTTTTGTGAATTCTTACCAAATCAACATGCAAAAAATTGAGGTAGTTTATTAAAGTTTGAATCAAATCTTTTTTTCTTATCGGTGATTAGAGGAAGAAGAAAAAAACAGTGTTCACATAGTGGAGGACAATTTTTTTAGAGAAAAAAATAGAAAAATGCATAAAAAAAACTAATACTTAAATGAAGAATTTTACTTGGCATGAATTTTATTTTTTATTAAAAATTATATAAACAATAAAAAAAATTTTAAAATTCTAAAATTTTTTGAAAAAATTCAATTTCAAGCTAGATTAGGATTTAAAATAAATACACTATTAATTACGTAAATTAGTAAACTCCATAATTTTTGTATTTTGAACAACATAATGTATTTTTATTTTTAAAAAATTAAAATATAATTGTTATAAACTCTTAAATTTGATTTATTATTTGTGTAACCCAACTAATTTTTTTATTAGTAAAAAAAAAAGCGCAAAATCAAAGGTTGCGAAATTAGTGGTAACCAGTCCAAGCCTAATGGCAAAAGACAGTGAAAACAATGAATGGAAAAGCGTTGAGAATGAGAGCCCAATGTCGCGTTCTCTACAAATAAACAAGCACATAAATTCAACGGCCCATATTCACTCTCTTCCCCTTCTTACACTTCGCTTTCATTTGATTTTCTTCTTCAAAGCATTTCCTCACTCTCTCGTTTCTCTATTTGATCCTCGCATTCTCACCCATCAGACACACCCTCGTATTCTCAAGGTCGTTATGTTCTCCTCATTTCCCCTTAGATTAGATCTGTTGGTCTTTGTTCTGTTGGTCTTTGTTTTCTTTTCTTTTTAACTCTTTTTGCTGTTTTCTTTTCTGGTTTGTTCTTTTATTCTTTTTTTTTTTGTTTTTTGGGTTTGTTTTGATTTGTTTTATGAATTGGGTTTTCTTTGTTTTGAACCAAAAGACAGGAAAAGAATCCCATTTCTGGAAATGGGTTGATTTTATTTTTGTGTTTGCTTAGATCTGTTTCCTTTTTTTTCTGCTGTTTCTTATTTGATTTATTTGTTTCTTTGGCTGATTTGCTTTGATGGTCTTTTAGATTTCAGATTGTTAATGGGATCTGAGGATGCTTGAATTTTGATCTTGTAAACCCAAGATTGGATATTTAGAATTCATGGGAAATTAAATTGGTGGAATTCAAGTGAAAATTTTTTTGAAAAAATTATTTATTATGCTTTTAAGTGGTATATTTGTTCCAAAATATTACATTTTTGTTTTGTTATTATGGCAGGTTGTAGAAGATGGCAGAAGCTGAGGATGTTCAGCCACTTGTTTGTGACAATGGAACAGGAATGGTGAAGGTAAATCATTGAAAGCTTTTGTCTTATGAGTGAAACATTGTGTTTTTTGACTTGATGTTATGTAATGTTAAGGTTAATGTTTCTGCCCTTTTTATCTGATATAAGTTCAATGTAAAATGTATTGTCTTAGGCTGGATTTGCTGGAGATGACGCTCCCCGAGCTGTCTTCCCTAGCATTGTTGGTCGGCCACGTCACACTGGTGTGATGGTTGGCATGGGCCAGAAAGATGCATATGTTGGTGATGAAGCTCAATCTAAGAGAGGTATTTTGACCTTGAAATACCCTATTGAGCATGGTATTGTGAGCAACTGGGATGATATGGAAAAGATCTGGCATCATACCTTTTACAATGAGCTTCGTGTTGCCCCTGAAGAGCACCCGATTCTCCTTACCGAGGCTCCTCTCAATCCTAAAGCTAATCGTGAGAAGATGACCCAAATTATGTTTGAGACCTTCAACGCTCCGGCTATGTATGTCGCCATTCAGGCTGTGCTTTCTCTTTATGCCAGTGGTCGAACAACCGGTAAGCATCATTTAATAAATAAATGATTGACCTGTTGAGTTTTAAGTTTGTTGGAACTGCACCGAACTGAAACTGATATGTTAAGTTCCTAAATATCATAAGCTGTGTCTGCTGAGTACCATTGGTATAAATGGCATGAGTTTGGTTCTCATTATCACATGTTATGAGCACTTGTCAAAACTTTGCCAATTTGATTCTGCTTGGATGGCTGGTGAAATCTCTGAATTGTTTCGGTTATAGTTGAATTGAATTTAATATGTTGAACATGCTTTTGCTATACAAGAGACAAGCGATGTAACAATGTTGTGTCTTTTTCTATGTAGGTATTGTGTTGGACTCTGGAGATGGTGTAAGCCACACGGTCCCCATTTACGAGGGTTATGCTCTCCCTCATGCCATTCTTCGTCTTGACTTGGCTGGCCGTGACCTCACCGATTACTTGATGAAAATTCTGACCGAGCGTGGTATTCCTTCACCACCACAGCCGAGCGGGAAATTGTGAGGGACATGAAGGAAAAGCTGGCATACATTGCTCTTGACTACGAACAGGAGCTAGAGACCTCCAAAACAAGTTCAGCCGTAGAGAAGAGCTACGAGTTACCTGATGGTCAGGTTATTACCATTGGTGCTGAGCGATTCAGATGCCCTGAAGTGCTTTTCCAACCATCCTTGATTGGTATGGAAGCTGCAGGCATCCACGAAACCACATACAACTCCATAATGAAGTGCGATGTGGATATCAGGAAAGACTTGTACGGTAACATTGTCCTCAGCGGTGGTTCAACGATGTTCTCTGGTATCGCTGACAGAATGAGCAAGGAGATCTCTGCACTAGCTCCTAGCAGCATGAAGATCAAGGTTGTTGCTCCACCTGAGAGGAAGTACAGTGTCTGGATTGGAGGCTCAATCTTGGCTTCCCTCAGCACCTTCCAACAGGTAAGTTGATTTACCATTGATTTGCATTTATAGTTGTCTGGTTGCTTGTTCAATGTCTTACATTAGCCGATTCGCATGCTATTTGGTTGCAGATGTGGATCGCAAAGGCAGAGTACGATGAGTCAGGTCCATCAATCGTCCACAGGAAATGCTTCTAAATGTTTTGATACGAGAATAGGGTCAAAGAAAGTACTGCTACACCAATACTTGGTGCAGCTTGAAACGTTGCTTTGTTCTAGCTTTGTTATTCATCAATGTTTATTCTCATGTTGGAGTGAACGATGAACTTTGAGAGAGTGGGGTTTCATTGTGGTCCAATTCTTTTAATTCCTATTTAATGTTGAGAAGCAAATCTGGCGATATAAAACAAAACACAACACGATACGATGAAAGACGATATGAAAATGAAACGACATAAACAAAATACGAAAATTAAGTGGTTAAAAATTTTAATAATTATTATATATCAATTTATTAGAATAAAAAAATTATATTTTATATTTTCATATTAAAATTAATTGTAATGTATAACTTTTTAGGTAAAAATATGTTATAAATATATAAATTTTAATTTTTTACACAATGATGTCATAGGTCTATTGAGAAGCTTTTGACTATTTTTATCTCATTTCTGTTACATTCAATCTGTCAGCCACTACTATTAGTCTATTATTTATGCTTTGAGCTTTTGAAGATTGCATGAAATATCTAATTTAAATCGACAATTTTAAACATGACATGAAATGATATTATTATTAGTCTGTTATTTATGTTTTGGGGTTTATAACTTTTGAAGATTGCATGAAATATTCAATTAATACCAATAATTTTAATCATAATATGAAATGATACGATATAAAAATAATATAAAAAATATGAAATTTTTTTTATTTAAAATTTTAATTTTTAATGGTATGAAAATTTTCAATGGCTAGAATAAAAGAAGATAAAGAACAAAAAGCGTTACCTCAACTTAATATTACTACTGAAAAAACTGCATGTTCTGTCAGTATTATTGCATAAACAAAAGTCTTGGATAAACTGATTTCATCTAACTAAAGTTTTCCTAAAGAAGGTATCAAACCTAAGGTTATCAAATCAGGTTGCATCGTTTCTCTTTGTTTTTTCATCGCTCACTGGATTCGAGAAAATCAAAACATCACTAGTTAATTTTCCACATTCGAGTTCTGTATCCGACGGACATTAGGGCAAGTTCCCAAAGCATGTTTGGTATGCTCAATGGATTTACCTTGGATCCAGGAATTTCAGACCAGTTTACAGATATCTCGAGCATTGGAATACCGAACCATTTGCAAAGGAAAACTAGTTCGACATCGAAACACCATCTGCACAATATAGTCCATCATGCTAAGTCAATCACAGAAAATTTCAAAAGGATTCATCAAAGCAGTGAACAATAGATTGGAAATCTTCTCTTACTACAACCTAATTGCTAGACCTTGGAGAAGTTCATCTAAAACAAAGTCAGAAGTGTGTTCAAATTAAGAATTCTTCTGGTTTTGGTAGAAAGAGAAAGTCCAAAGAATTATAAATGATAATGACAATTTCTATCCTAAATTACTTGGCAAATCTTATCAAAACCGTGGATGTTTGGAATGATGAACCTAACATGAATAAGAATATCTATTACAAAAAAAATTACTTGATTCCTGTCCTTACTATTTCTTTCCATTCTCAACAATTGAAAGAAACAGAATATCACATAAGACTTCATCTCCATCCACTATTTTGTATTATTTCTCCTTTTCAGACACTTGTATCCGTAAATGGGAAGCAGTAGAAAAGTACCGTTAGAGTATTCAATGAGCAAACGAGCATGTGTCTGATGACGCAAATCTAGACATATAATATAGATTTGTTTTGGTTTTCAACGACAGGATATGCAAGTAATAACACCAAAGGATGGGGTGATCAAGAGTGTCACTGAGAACAGAATCACCTTTTCAAACGGATGTTTGTGAAAAGCTTCCTTGCTGCAGACCTAGTAAACATCTTAAAACCACACTGCATTGCATGAAGAAATCCAAATCACGAAAATGCTTGTAGAAAATTCACTATGTAATTCAATTATGTTAGCAATATAGAACCTATATACTGGTTCATAGACTTTAGACACAAAAATTAGAAATCTATGCAATGAACACACCTGCGTATCACGAATTCCAGGACCAGCGGTCAGGACAACCACAAGATGGAAACCCTTCATCAAAAAATTGCGATACCACTTCCTCTGAAACATAGATTGAGCAAATTCAACTAGAAGAAATGTGCAACTTAGACAACAAATTCAAACTATGGCTAACATGTAAGCATCATTACAAGACTTAACTGTAGCAAGAGCTTTCTCCTCAAGATGAGCACGAGAACCAAATGCAACTATTGGGATATCAGATATTCTAAAACTTGTGTCACTGGTCTCTGAATCCCCACAATGATAACCTTTCCTGGCAACTGCATGGATCTAAAGCACAAAACATCAGATAAACTGTACCACAAAGAATATCCCCAACAAAGGTAGTCAATCTTTTACAAACCTGATTTTCAAGTTTTTCTAGGTCAGTAACCTTGGTGGCCCCATCAGCATCTAGCATTAGAAGTAATTCACCACGTGAATGTAGCATACCCTGTTTTACAATGCTTTCGCAGAACAAAGCGCTTCAATCAATTATTGTCATGCAGGATGGCAAGAGCAGGAAAGCATAATACTCACACTGGCATTAGAATATGTTTGTGAATATCCAAATGAATAGTTTAGGTTAGACTCACTTTTCTTATAGCTTCTCCTTTTCCGTGGTTTCTACCGAGAAGGATAGCCCTGACATTGTCTACACCATACTTCTTTACAAAGCCAAAAGCTACTCTCTTTGTTCCATCCCTACTTCCATCATCAACAATTAACACCTGCTCATAACTCATTCACATAAGAGACATGCAGACATGCAAAACATGTTTAAATGGTACATTTTAAAAAAAAAAAAATGGCTATTCTACCCTAAGGCTATGAGGCATAAACACACTTGACCTATCTAAATCAAAATTTCATGATAGACTGCTGAATAAAGTAGGCATCACAAAACCAATTTAGATGATCAAGTTAATAGAAGGAACAAAATGGTACCTCATAAGAAAATGACTTATCCTTTGCTGCCCGTTGTTGAAGATAACTGCAAAGTAACAACATCACATCATTACTATTTAATATCATAGTCTTTTAAGTGACAGCCATGGTTAAGTTTTAAATTACTTCAACAAAACATATCTAGGGAAACATATTTTCTACCCTAAAAATAACAAGACAAGGATTAATCAAGCTACAAATGGAGAATGGAAAGTTAAACCATCACTTGTGAAACACAACTGCATCATGCAGTAAAAGCTCCATCTATTACTTAAGAAATAATGTTCTGATGTTCTAACCAGTATAAGCTCAAATATTAACAAAATAGCAAAAACATTTAGTGGGCTATTACATGATAAACGGTAATGATGGCCCACCGTACCAACATTTTTTTTGGAAAGCGAATTTCATGAACTTCATTGTTATCATGTGAGAAATTACAATCACTCAATGAAATAACCTTGCTTCTTGGTGTCTATTTTTCTTGTTTCTTTTTTTATTTTGGTCAGGAACTCAGATTGACATGTTAGCATTTCGAGATATTAGTGACTATTAAAAATATACATCCTGCATTATGATGAAGCATCAAAACTACGACCTAGCATAATTCTTTTTTTTGGTCTTTCACAGCCGACCCCAAAGTTATGAAATATAAGGTTTAATTTTGTTGTTGTTGTTGTATTATGATGAAGCACTAACTTACTTCATGGTTTCATCAAGTGCACCAGGAAGCCTATGTTCTTCATTGAAAGCCGGAATTATCAAGGACAAGTATTTCTCAGCTGGATCGAAAATATAAGGACAAGGAACCTGGAAAAAAATTTGAACCCAGCAAATTCTTAGCATCCATACCCACTTCATAAATATCATTATCTCATAAATAAATTAATTAAAATAGATAAATCATTTTAAACAAAAAGAATACAAATATGGTGTTAGAAAATTCCAATTCTTATCATTAGTTCTTGCATATATTTATAACAAAGTAGACTTCTTTACGTAAAAAGAAACTATCAATTAAAAGTCGTCTTTTTTTGTTCACTTATTTGTTTCAAATGAAAGAAATTAGGTATAATACCTAAATTAACTCTAAAACTTTCCTCTAAAATGCAAATAAGCCCTCAATCTTTTATTGCATGAAATTAAGGTTATGAACTTTTATTTTATTGTAATTAGAACCTTGACGGTATAAATTATACAATTTTTTGTTTAAATTTTTTAATTGGATGATTTAATTTATAGAAAATGCTTACGTAGATTCATTTGGATGAGTTAAATGATAAATATTTAAGAGAATACTATTTTAAAAATTCTATCAATTGGACATGATTCATCCAATTTTAAGATTTAATGAGTATAATTACAATAAAATAAAAGTTTATAGTCTTAATTTCATGCAATAAAAGATCGAGGGCTTGTTTGAATTTTGAAGTAAAGTTCGAGGGTTTATTTGAGTATTAAGCCAAGAAATTATAAAACAAGTTGCAATTTAATAACTTAATTTCCTAACCAAAATCAAAGGAAAACCAAAAAGGAAAAAGAAAAACGAAATTTGACTCATTTTCTCTGCAGCCAAACAAACGATAACATGTTTAATCCAAAAAAAGAAAGAAATGTGATTACCTGTTTCAATGATTTCGGATCCTCAAAGATCGCCGGCGCTTCAACATGACTAATTTCAAAAAAATAAATTAAATTAATAAAAATCAAATAATTATACAAAATAAAAACGGAAAAAGAGGAAATTAGGGTTAGCGAAATCTACGCGTTATTGTGACGTCTTCTATAAGCTTTGAAAACGGTTACAGAAACTAAACCAAATAGAACGATCAAAACCAAAGCAGCCAAAAACTCCACCATCATCAACAAAAACGCCATTTTTCCTTTGACTTCCAACCTTTTTTGCCGTTGCTGCCGAGAGCTGAGATTTAACAGTGTTTTTTTATTCAACGAGGATTGGATTTCATTTCAGTTTCACGTTATTAAAATTCTTTAATTTTATTTTTAAAAAAATCCTTGGTCCATCCAAGCCCGTCTAGCTCAGTTGTGGGCCCAATGGGATTATTTAAAAAATTGGTCTCCGTTTCAGCCCACTTTTCCAATGTCCAAGGGAGGGATGAGAAGAAAAAATTGAAAAAAGTTAAAAACTGATTGGAAATCGTGATATTTGATTAGATAATTCCATTTTTTTTATTTAGTTCGAATTAAGTTTAAATGTTAAATATATATATATGTATTAGATTTAGATTGAAAAAGTGAAAGATAAAAAAAATTAAATTGAATTATATATTTTTATTATTTATTATATATTTTTTAAATTTTTATAAAATAAAATAATTATTTTATATTTAAATTTATTTAAATAAATTAAATTTTATATTAAAATAATATAAAAAATTTTAAATTTAAAAATCAATTAATAAAATTAAACTAATAAAATTTAATTTAAATCAAATCATATAAAAAAATTAATTTAGATTCAAATCAAATTTTAAAAATTTATAAATTTATGTATTATTTAAAAGAAATTAAAATAAATCCGATTCGTAACCCTAATCCAAAAAGCATTAACATTTTTCAATAAAGCCCAATGGCCCAATTTTTCCATTTCAATTCAAAATTCCCTGTTGGGCTTTTTTTTTTTTTTGGAGACCATCCATTTTTCAAACCCAAAATCTTATCATTTTCAAGAAATGAATTCTGTAGATTTGAAGGGTGAAATTTTAACATAATTGTATTAAAATTTTTGTTGTGAACATATTGTTATACATTATAGCTAATAATTTATAGTGCTAATTTTATGGACTTGAATTTATGAATTTTTTTAACTGTATTTTCCTTTTTCATTGATTCAAATTAGTTGCATTTGATTGACAAAGTCGAGTACATAAAATTAAAGTCAATCCTTTAATTGAATTAAGAACATGTTGAAAAATTCAATCATAAAATAATATTCACGAAGTGATTGAAATAATATCTCCAAATTCAACTTCCTTTGTACCAAACCTCTGATAACTCTCACCCTCAAATTTGCTTTGGAAATAATAACAGTGTTTCTTACAATTCTAAATCTCTTTTAATTTTTTAATAATTTGAGTAATTTTGAATTAAACTCTTTAAACAAAAAAGAAACAACATCAATCATTAATTCAAATGCTTTATGCAACTTCTTTTTGAATTCGAAACTTTTATGTCATTGAATCTTACGTGAAAACAATGATTTTAATACTTTTTGGATTGCGAAGGACATAAATACAAGTTTTTTTTAATAAAAAAATTTGTAATTTTGGAATAAGAAAAAGAGTTACCATAATTTGAACAGTTAATGTTCTCGACAGGGACAGAATTGAACAGTTAAAAAAATTATCTTTTTTATTTTACAATAATCAAACTCATCTAATTACTATTTTGATTTTCTTTTTCTTTTAAAATTATTGTTTGACGTTTCTTTAATCAATATTTGTTTTTGCTTTTGGTTCTGGATACAACTTCTTAAAAACGACTGCAAAAATTAATTCAGCAAATCTTCGGATTCAAGTTTTTGTTTTTTTAACGTATTGGAAGATGATAAATTCTAAATACTAAAGCCAACAGATTGTCGGCAATGCAACCAATTTTTCCTAAGCAGAACTTTCTTTAAATAACAATCAGAAAAAGAGGATTGGTGGGTTCTACCTTTTATAGATAACATGTAACACCCCCATGAATATTGTGATATATCACCCAATACAACACTACTAATTCTGAGTTGAGCAAAATTTCAGCAATGCACATTTTCACCTTCCATTGTTCAGACAAACAAATTTGATAATTTGTATATTCATATTATATAAAATATTAAAAATTTATAAATTTATGATATATGTTACATAAAAATTATACATCATAATTTATATTAATATAAAAATATGAAATATATTTTTTATTTTGTTAATTTTATTTATATTTTTTGTTAAAATTTTAAATTATATTATTTTTATACATTTATTCATATCATTTTTATATTATATTACTATATTATTATATTTAAAATTATCAAACCTACCGACAAAAACTTTCATATATTCTTTGAAAGAGATTTTGCAGTTTTAGCTTCAGCAATAAGGAGAGGTTTGTACATTATTTATGTGAAAAAAAGGCAGTTGGGATTTCGCAATGTGGACAAATGGGTCCTTCTCTTCGAATGATTAAACCCACTAGAGCGAATTACGAGTAAGAAAAGATTTCCTTTTGCTTTTCTTTTATTTTTTTTGTTAACCGTTACGGAATTTTTTAATTTTATCTAATATTTTTTAGGTCAATTTAAATAGATTTATTTATATCAAATTTAATAAATTTATAAAATATTAAACTTAATAAATTAAAATATAATATAATAATATGATACAAATATAATATAAAAATAAGATATAAAAATAATATGATTTAAAATTTTAATAATAACTATATATAAATTTAATAAAATATATATTTTATATTGTTGTATCGATACAAATTATGACACGTAATTTTTATATAAAATATAATACAAATATTTAATTTTTAATATCTTATATGATACAAATATATAAATTATTAAATTTATAAAACATTACCTTCTTATAACCTATCAAAAAATTTAAAATTTAAATCTAATAACAAAAAAAAAATTTTTACCACTTAAACCAATTGTTTTTTATTTTTTTTCCTTACACTTTTTTCACCATAAAGCCTTGGCTTGGGTGGAGAGAATGGTCCTTCATCCTACCCCATTTTTGCTTTTCATCATTTCATTACAAAATAGCTCTAAATTTTCCTCTTTTTTTTTAAATAAAATTTTTTTATCATTATGCTAAAGCAATTTGCAAACCAATTTGCAGAACCTTTTTTTTTTTTCTCAAAAATCGCGCATCAGAATTGGATTTTGCAAACCAATTTGCAGGCTGAGGGATTGGGGGCAGGAGGCCAGCAGCTTGGTTCACGAGTTAGAGAGCACAACTTACAAAAAAACACCATCGTAAATGAGAGAAAATTTGGACGGATTGAGTCATGAAATTGGGAGGCTTTCAGAAATCAGTTTTCAATCAAAGGAGGAACTTCAAAAAAGTTTGGGATGAACAATTGTTTTTTAATTAAAAATTAATTTAAAATTATAGTATTTGATTTAGTTTAGATTAATTTTTTTATTTCATTCAAATTAAATTTAAATATTAAATAAATATTTTAGGTTCGGATTGAAAAATAAAAATAAAATTAAAAAATTTGAGTTGAATCAAATTACATATTTTTATTAATGTTTATATATATTTTAAATTTTTATCAAATAAAAATAATATTTTTATATCAAAATCTATTTAAATATATAAATATTTTATATTAAATTAATATATGAAAAACAAAATATTAAATTTAAAAAACCAATAAATTCAATCAAATTGAATTAATAATCCGATTCAATCTAAATAAAATCATATAAAAATTCGATTTAAATTCATATTATATTTTAAAATTTTATAATATTATATAATATTTAAAAAAATCGAATCTAATCTAAACCGCTATTATCTCATAAAAAACATTGAGAAACCAAAACAATAATTCTTTTTTTCTGTTTATCGAGTGTATCCTATCTCGTTCTTCCTTTATATTATCAGACAAGTCAAAGAGTCGAATTGAAATTTTCTATACCCTAAACAAAATTTTTTTAAAAAAATTATCAGACTGAAATTAACAGGATTGAATCGTATTGATGTAAACTGTGTAAATAACAATATTTGTATATTGCTTGAGGCTTAAGGGATTTTTTTTTTGTATGATCTTTTGTAGCCAAATTATATTGAATAAAACGATTTTGACCTACCAGTATTTTAATTTCTTAGTTATGGCAGAAATTAATTATAATTAATGTTTAGCAACAACCTAATCATTAAATTATGGTTGCTTAAATCATGCTTTAAGTGGTAGAGTAAAATTGAAGGAATAAGAAATAAACTGTTATATTATATTTTTTTTAAATCTAGTTTTGATGATAAGAAAATAATTTTTACAGAGACTTCTGATCATTAAACTGTGAAGAGAAAAAAAAAAAAAAAAAAGACTCCAAATTTATTCATACTACAAATCTGTTCGAGGAAAAATGGAAAAAGATTAAGGAATTTTATAACATGAACAAGATCTTCCAACAAATAAACCAATCCCCTCATGAAGAAAAATATTTCAAAATTGAAGAAAAAATAAGAAGAATATGAAACTTTTTTTTTTTTACAATGGAGATTGCTCAATATATGACTGCATCGGCCAACTGAGGTAAGTTTCTGTTCGAAGAACATGAAATTAGTGAGCCATGGCAACTGGAGGGCAGTAGCTGATGCTTCTCTGGTTAGGCATGGCAAGCATAGCAGTGTGATCCAAGAAATCCTTGAGTGCTACAACAGATTGTAAAATTGATCTGAGATCATCAGCACAAGAAAATCCCATGTTTCCAATACCCCTCACTGCATAAACATAGAAAGTGATGCACCCTTTTCTGAACTTGAACCTGGCCATTTCACAGCCTGTTAGACCCCTTATCAGCTTCTTGTTCTCTTCTCCAAGAGGAATCTCTGGTGGCCAAATCCTATCCACTGCCAGCTTCATGGTTTCTGACTCAAAAACAAATAAAACAACTTTGGATTTCTTTGTTCCAAGCCCCAGGGTAAGTGTATGCCAGGCATGGTGAGCCAAAATTGTGAAGTTTGTAGGCAAGAAAGCTGTGGCTGAAGGGAAAGGGAGTTTGCTGTTGTTGGGTTTGTTTAACAATGGTGGGAAATCAAGTAGTTTCAGCAGCTCAAGAGGCCTTGCTCTTCTGATTGTGAATGATTTTACAATGAACTGTCCACCAAATCTTAGACCCTTTACTTCAGTGCTTGGCTTGAATGAAAAATCTGATGCAGCTGCTGGTTTGCTGGTCTGATCATTGGGGTGTTGATGTTTTTGCTTCTTGTTCTTGTTCTTCTTCTTTTCCTTCTCTTCCATTTGTATTGTAAGCTTTTTTGGAGGGTATAGGTTTTGTTTTGTGATAACAAATCCAATCTAAAGCTTTTGGTGGTGTGAAGTTGTTTGTTGGCTTCTTTGTCACTAGCCTTTTCCTTTTTCTTTAAGAGATTTGGAGTAAAAAAGATTGGTATTCCCATACCACTTTGCTTAACTATGAAAATTCTTATATTTATATTATATAAAATATTAAAATTAATATATTTATATTATATTTTATATAAAAATTATATATTATAATTTATATCAACACGAAAATATAAAATATATATTTTTAAAATTTATTAAACTCATAATGTAATAATTGTTAAAATTTTAAATTATATTATTTTTGTATTCTATATTAGTATCATATTTATATCATATCATTTTATCGTATTTTAAATTATCATATCATATCTATGATCATCTTCAATTTATTTTATATATTATCATTTTTTCAAAAAAGCTTTCATTTAATAATAAAAAAATTACATTGATATTAAAATTAAAATTTTTAATTTATTAAATATTATTTTTTAAAAATATTTATATTAATCGATTAAGTTAAATTTGATATTCATATATTATCACTTTCGATCGATGTTCGTTATGTATGGCATAAATTTAATTAATATTTTAATTTTGTTTTGTCATTTTTATAATCTGTTAACTCATCATGTCAATCTATTATTAAAAGTGGGATTTTGAGATGGAGTAGGTGGGAGTTATCGAGTGCTTCCATGTACTAACTCATGATGCGGCCATTTCTTTTTCTTCTTATTAATGATGCCCTTTATCAATTCACATGATACTCTTTGCTTAGTTATGACATATAATCAATTCATTAATAGAATATTTATGATTATTTATTAATGAGATTAAAGCTAAAATTATCATTATATTATACATCGGTAATATTGAATTTTGTCGTTATATTTTAATTTTATTAATTTTTGAAAAAATAATAAATTTAACGTAAATTTATCACTTGCATTAATAAAATATTTTTTAAAAATATATTTATTTTAATTTTATTATTTTTAATCTAAAAATCAATAAAATTAAAAATATATTAATTAAATTCAATGAAATTGAAATGCAAGAATCATATAACATGTTGCTTCTTGGAAATAGGCCTATCAATTCATAAGCTCACAAATTGAGGATTAGGACCACATTAAGGTTATTAGTTGTGATTACCAAAATAACCCATGGCATGGAGAAGTTGATTTGCTAGTTTGCATGAATAATAATAGTAATAAATAAATAAATAAATAATATTCATTTGTTTATTACTTCCAATGAATTATTGCTAATTAAACATATATATGTGTATATATATATATATATGTATTTCATGTGATAATTCAATGCTCAAGCAAGCAAGATGATGGTTTCATTTATATTATTATTATATATTTTTTAAGAACATTAATATTTTTTCTATTTCATTTTTAATGTTCACTTTTCTTTTTTTTCTTGGATATTTCAAAATGAAATTCTTATTTATTTTTTTAAACACCTATAATCTTACTTTTTCTACTTAAATTTTTTTCAATTTTTTAACTTTTTAATAATAAAAATATGATACATCAATATTATAAAAAATTAAAATGAGGAAAAAAAAAAGACACTTGAAACGAGATGAATTTTTTTTTTAATTATGAAACAAAATAAAAACAAGTGGTTAAATTTGAATCTCAATTGCAGAGATAAGGCTGGCTCACCTCATTTGACGAGCAATAAATCATCCCTTTAAAGTTGTTTCCTTCCAAAGGCACCATTGCCTTTAATCATTCAAAGGGAAGAAATGTCAGTGGTCTTGAGAATGACCCAGTGAAAGCAAAACTCTTGCAGTAATGACTAAGGAGGGGCCACCACCAATCGAGCCTTAATTAAAGTATCCTTCCAGCCAGGTTTCTTGTCTTCTCCAATTTATTTATTTTTGTATAAAACAAATATTGCTGCTCAAATTTAAAATTTATTTTAATTAGATTTGATAATTTGTATAATATAAAATATTATATTTATGTCATATTATATATAAATATCATATGTAACAGTTCGTGTTAATATAAAAATATAAAATATAATTTTTTAATTTTATTAAATTTATTTATAATTTTTTAAAGATTTTAAATGATATTATCTATACATTTTTTATTCATTTTATTTTTATATCATATTATTATATTATATTTTAAATTATCAAATTTAATTTTAATTTATGAATCTTCTCAAACTATTCCAAGTATGTGTAGTTTTTACTTTTTTTGAATAAATTTTAATTTATAAATTTAAATTTAACTAATTTATGTAATTAATTTCAAAAAATAATATTCAATATATTTGATATTCAAATCTCGGATATAAGAAATTACTTTTGATTATGTCTACATCTGCTTAATAGACAAGGAGTCTACCAAATAATTATCAGTGATTAATCATGTCTTTAGACTAAGCATTGAAAGGGACATACCCAGATTTTGCATTAAAACCACCGACACTATTCCATGGGAAGGCATTAAAATCAACAATATATATTTTAAGACCTTTCAGATTTTGTTTTATAGAAATTAAGGAATTTTGGACTTATTTGTGACCTTTAATTTTAAAATTTTAAATAGAGATATAAGTGAGAATTTTTGATGAATTATTCATAAATATATTTGATTTTTGATCGTTTGTTAAATTTAATAAAAAATTATTTATTTATTAAATAAATCGAATACAAATAATTATTTATTTATTCATTTATATTTATAAATAAACTTGTTTACAATTCATTTAAAACCTATTCGTTTACTGTTTATTTATAATAATATTAATAAAATTATATTTTTATCATTTACTCTAATCATATTTTAAGATTCGTTTATATTTGTTTGAGGTCGTTTATATTCGTTTAAGGTTTGTTTATTTAAATTTATTTAGTTATGATTTATTTATTATTTATAAAATATTCATTTATATATGTTCGTAACATATTTATTTAATATTTACGAATGAACTTGTTTAATTTAATTGAACAAACAATAATAAAAAACGAATAACATATTATTTAAACTAATGAATATGGACGAATAAAATAAATTTCTTAATAAACACGAATCAAATAGGAATACCTTTAAAAACAAACGAACAAGCATAAACATACATTCATTTATTTATGTTCAATTTATTTACAGTCATAATTTTAAGTTATTTAAAAAAATAAATAGTCTTGATTTCTTTTTTTTTTTCAAAACAAAAAGAAATTATAATTAAAAAATAAAAAAATTATAAAATATTAAAATTTGATTTCAACCTACTGAAGGTATTTTCAATCTTCTATTAACTCCCCGACTCCATGTGTCCTAAGATTTAAACTTGCGACCTAGAGAGATGAAATTTTAAGTTTTAAGTTTTAACCATTGAGATATCTCCATATGCTACAAATATTTGATTATGAACAAATATCATATTAAATTTTAAGTGAAAAATATTTTTAGATTAGTTAATATATTCGTCCTAAAAATTAGATAAGAAAAGATTTATCTAAACTGAGAGAAAACTTTGATCTCTCGTCTCATTAATTTTATCTCGTCTATTTTAAGATGATGTCTTAAATTTTAATAATTGAATATTCATTTTGAGATGGTGTTATAATTATTTATTTACGAACAAATATTTTCAAATTGGCTAATTATGTTGGACCTAGAAAACTATATATATATATATATATATATATATATATATATAAGAAAAAACATGAGTTAAAATGAGAGTAGATCTTGTAATTTATGTCATCGTATTGAATAAAATATTATATTTATATCATGTTTTACACGAAAATCATATGTTATAGTTTATGTGAATACAAAAATATAAAATATAATTTTATAATTTTATTAAATTTATTTATGATTTTTTTAAGTTTTAAGCTATATTATTTTTATATTTTTTATTCATATTGATTTTTATATCCCGTTGTCATATTTTATTTTAAATTATCATATCTAAATAAGAGAAATTAATGATAAAATATAAAAAAAAGGTCATGTCATTATTAAAGGTATTTACAAAAGACACATTGACCACCAAACCAAATTAAAGGAAATTTGAAAAAGGAAGCAAGAGGTTGGCTCTGGTTGTCCAAATATATGTATGTTAGGCTTTGCATGATTATCATTTGCCCATCTTTGCTTCAAAACTTTTCTTGCATTTTAATTCTTCAAAACTAAAATTTACAGCTGTTTGTGGTATTGATTTGATGCAGCTGTTTGATGATTCCAATTTATGCAATCAATTTATTTTAATATTTTTCTAAATAAATTTGACGATTTATGTATTCATATTATATAAAATGTTAAAATTTATGTATTTATATTTTGTTTTACACGAAAAATACGTATCACAATTTATATCGACATAAAAATATAAAATATATTTTTTAATTTTATTAAATTTATATATAATTATTACTAAAATTTTAAGTTATGTGATTTTCATATCTTATTTTTATATCGTATTCATATCATGTCACTGTATTATATTTTAAGTTTTTAGATTTACTTAAAAACATCTTTCATGATAAATTTAATAATTTGGAGGAAAGTTAAGTGAAAAGAAAAGAATTTATTAATTTAGTTAAATGAAAATAAATTGATTTACATTTTTTTCCATCCAAATTTAATCATTTGTAATAAAGAGGAAAACATTTTTTTACTTAATTAATCTCTTTCTTTCCTTCTATTTTCTTCTTTCCTATAGAACATAAAGAAGAAACAAAAACAACCTTTCTTCTTATCATTCATTTTTTCTTTCTTTTCAACCAAACAGTGTTAGGTTTTGGATTTCCAATTTCCATTATATATACAACTAAAATTATTCTACATTTAACAGTCAAATTACTTAAATTAGAATGATGAAACTATAAGTAATTACATTTATATATTTTATTCGTATTATATAAAACATTAATAATTCATGTCTTATATAAGGTTTTACCTGCAAATAGTATGTCAATTCACTCTAAGAGTCGAACACAATATATATATATATATATATATATATATATTATTTTTGGAGCATTTGAAAATCCTAAGGGCAAACCGATCTTTTTACTATAAAGAGTCAATAAGGTTAAAGATACTTTTTCGACATTTGATCCGAGTTAAGGTGATACGCCAATCTTATTTCTCGGAGCTAACATCCCACCTATCAAAGTGCGTGATCATGCTGACATGTTCTAGAAGCAGTGAGAGAATGCCAGCCACATCAGCATGGGTCGTTCCACGTCAGACCAACCATCGGTCCACCCAACTAGGTTCTTTCAACCCGAACGCTTCCTCCTACAGGTATAAATACCTCTTTCTCTTCCAGGAAGGAGACCGAATCCTAAGAAATTCTCACCTAGCATTCCTTGTTTTCCTATCTTATCTCTCTCTTTCTCTTCCTCTTCCGAGCACTAACTCGAGCATTGGAGCAGAATGCCAAAGGTCCCTTCGACCTTTGCTTCTAACCAACCTCCATCCTTCTGATTTCAGATTACCACCCCTCATATCAAGCTCAGCACAAACATCATATATCGTTTTTATTAAAATTTTAATTCATATCATATCATCGTATCGTATTTTAAATTGTGAAATCTAACATTAGCATTAGAAACCACAATTCCTTATTCTATTGAGCTAGAACATGTCTAGGTGTCAAACCAAAAGCATGGTGTAGATAGAAACACATAGTAGGCATTTACTGCATGCTTTAAGAATTGAAATGTTTCTTTGGATTCACATCAAAGAAACATGGACTAGGGTTTCTGCTTTTTCTATGGAGACAACAACAAAACAGTAACATAGACTGGAAAAGTAACAAAAGCAACTAATTACTATTCATTTTGTTTGTATATTTGTAATCCAAGCATATGTTCTTGACTGCTGCAAAAGATAAGCAACCACATTTTCAACAACGAAATCAGATATCGAAGCCTAATTTTAAGAAAAATTTTCTAAACCCCAAAAGAAGAGAAAACGGAAAACAAATAAGAATCTATAATATGATGCACAAAGTGTAGTAGACTTACAAACTGTTTCGAACCAAACAATATGCAGCAGTTTTCGGAACCCAATACTGCCATTCACCTCGTGCATAAAAAATCGAAGAGAAATGAAGATGCCTGATCGACAAAATATGGTGTGTCGTAGTCTTTGTTGTCATCAGCTATGCAAACCTGCCCTTCATCCTTAAGTCCGGCGCTTATTCAATATCAAGGAAAATAAATTACTAAAAGAAAAGCCGCAATACAATTCATCTCTCACAAGAAAGAACTTGCATCTTCCATATCAAAATCTATACATGTCAAATAGCCCTGAATGAAGGGTGCCTCCGCCTCTCAAGCTTCAATCTTTGGTTACTGTCAATGTTTATGGGTTTCAACAGTCGCTCTGCTTCTAATTCAGATTGAAGCAAAGACTGCAGCCTCTTTAAATGCCCGTTGCACTGTTTATGGTCAGAAGAACCATTGCCACTAATATCGTGTTCATCGGGAATAAATTGTCGCTGGTAGGGTGAGTGCCACTTTGCTCGCAAGTAAGCAAGCGATCTCCATGGAGGAAAAGGCATCGAGTTTTGCTTGAGAGACGACCTAGCAGCTTCAACCATAAGCTGAAGCAATTGTTTCAAACTAGTCAAGGAGCCCACATAAACAACGGGAAGTGAATTCAATATTCTATCATAAGAATCAACTGCTCTAGCTATCTCAAAGTGGCTTCGGAAGTCAATATCAATAATCAAACGTTCAGAACTCCCATTGTCATAATTGATCACATCAATATACTCATGATCACCTGAATATATGCCACAAATGGTGTTGTCAAAATTACAGTAGTTTTACTAATATAGGTGTAAAATTAAAAGAGATGGGGGAGGGGGAGCAAACCTAAAAACCGACATGCAAAATTTTGCCATAGTTTTACTGCCCTGATACTTTTAGAGCAATGAATTTATCATGAATACATATTTTTAGCTAATCGAACAGAATCAAAGGGGGGAAGTTGATTTTCATCATGAATGGTAGGGATGAACTCTCTGTTACATGCAACATACATAAAAGATGCGGCAGAACATAGATTCTCCACAACACAATCACATGCAGGCACAGAAACATACGCAGAGAAACAGAGAAAGGGAGAAAGTGAGAGTGAGAGATGAAAGAAACATTTAGGCAGTTCAAAACATCAAATTAATACTTCAGCACATCTAGAAAGAATAAGCTCAAAAAAGATCCCTTTTTTTACCATCAACGCAACAGCAATCTCTACTATAAAAGAGATCCAGGAACAGGAAAAAATTCAAGAAGCTAAAGGAGCTTGCAAAAATTAGAATTCAGAGACTCTTGGCATACCTCCAGGAACTTTGCCAGTACCCTGCCACCTTGACGCACAAACAGCAGCATCATAGCCAGAAAGTCTCAACAGCTTTACCAGAGAATACCTTATGCAGCTGGCATTACATGGACCCGACTTTACAAAGTGTAGGTCCATCTCACTGATCGATAATATTCGTGAATGAACGACTGACAACAAGTCAATCTCATACTGACCCACCAAGTGCTTATGGTACTGCAACATGACAGCAAAATGAAAGAGAATTAGGTTGAAATTAAGTAAATGCTTTCGGTAGGAAAACAAGAGGGTAAAAGTACAAATAATCACCAAAAGTAGCATGCTTATAGATTCAAAACCAAATAGAATTGAACTTGATCAAAGAAACAAATAATTTTTTCACTTATTTTTATTTTAATTCATAATCAATATCTTATAAAATTGTTAAATATATATATATTAGAAAAAGGGTATGGCCGCAATTTTCTGTTAGATCATATTTAAAGACGGGATTTACCGTTATTTGTGCGAATGACAATTCAGACCTCCGTTACAATAACAGTGGCCCCGCCACCGCTACTCGGACAAAAAAAATCAAACAGTCTCAAATTAAATGAGCAGTCATATAAATTAAAACCCAACAAAAACAACCCAAAGAAAAAAAAAACAATAAAACCCCAAAGAGGATAAATTTAAAATTAAAAAATACTCAATCAAAGAAAACCAAGAAAACCCTCAAAATTCTTCAACTAATCAAATTAAACAGAATTAAAAAGACTGAATTTTTTTTTAAAGGGAAAGAGTTAATACTAACAGAGATTTTATCAACGAGGTGGATAAGATCGGAGAACCCAGACTCGCTATCGCTACTGCACCAAGAATCGCCACCGGCGCTTCCACCGTTACTTTCCAAAAAATCGCTTACCATTAAAGCCAAATCATGCTCGCTTTCATGGCTAAAACCCCACAAATTTTTATTGTTATTGCTATTATTTTGATGATCCTCTGCGGCCACCCATACGCTGCACTCCATCAACGTCACAACACACTGCCGTCCGATCACAATTTCCCCCGTCCCTCCTTACAATTCACACCAACCAATAACCATAAAAAAGGGGCGTTCCCGTAATTTAATTGAAGCTCAGGGTGCTTTTTTTGTGGCGGGCAAGAGGGATAGAGAGGGAAGGGGAAAAAGCTGGGAAGGAAATGAAGGAAAAAATAAGAGGTAAGGAGCAAGACGAAAGCAGATGGGAGAAGAGACAAAGAGGAAGACTTCTTATTATTAAAAAAAAAAAATCTGCTAAATTCACCCGGTCTTTTTTCTTCGTATCTAACTTTTTTTTATTATTTTTTAAGCGAAATTATTTAATTTTTTTCATAAATTTTTAAAAATAAAGTTTTTGAAAATTATAAAATTTTTCAAAATTTTAATTATATAAATTTCAATAAATAAATTTTCAAAAAATTATAAATTTTTCTAAAAATAAATTTATGAAAATCTTTCAAAAATATATTTACAGAAAATTTTATAATTTTTAGAAAATAAAATTTTAAAATTTTAAAGCATTATAAAAAATAATTAAATAATTTTACTTATAAATTTTTTTTTTAATTATACGATGAAAAAAAATAAGAATGCACTTCGCAGCCTTCGTTAAAAAAATTGAAAATTTTGGAGAAATTATTAAATGACGAAAATGGGGGCTTTTCTTTTACAACTTACGACACCTTTTTTTTTTTTTTATAGGGATGTAAATGAGTTCAGATTCACTTGACATTTTTTGGATGAATTTTAACAAAAAGAATGACATCGTTGTATGTTGTAACTAGACGCAAATAAGGAGTGGATGGTTTCTTTTTTTTTTTTAATATAGAGAAAAAAATTTAATTTTCTTATGTTTTTAAAATAATTTTTTTTTTAATTTTCTTTTATAAATCATGTTAGATAAACAATTATCGGATCTTTGCAAAGAGAAAAAACAGAAATAAAATATACAAGAGCCTTTACGCCTAACTTTAAGCAGCCGTAAGTCAAGCGGACATAATTACGAAAATTTGATATTTTAAATATAATAAAAATTAATAAAAATAACAAATAATATAATTTAGAATTTTAATAAATATCATAAATGAATTTAATAAAATTCAAATATATGTTGTATATATAATTTATCAACATGAATTACAATATATTAATTTTTAGGTTATACATATATTTAATGTGAAATAAATAAATATAAATATTTGAATTTTGGATCTTTAATTACTAATAACTTTATCCAATCCAATTTTTTTTTTCTTTTTCCTTTATATTTTCAAAATAGGTGAGTTGTAAAATGTAACCATAAGTAAATGAAAAAATTGATTGGACAAAAAAAATTATAGATAACAGAAATCTTGAATTAAGGATAAAATGATAGTTTTGAATAAACTTGATAAATTAAAATATGATATGATGATATGATATAAAAATAATATGAATAAAATATATATAAATAACACATTTTAAAATTTTAATAAAAATTATAAATAAGTTTAATAAAATTTAATAAATATATTTTATATTTTTATATTAATATAAATTATCACATATAATTTTTATATAAAATATGATATAAATATACAAGTTATCAAATCTAATTTTAAATAAAAACCATAGTGAAAAAAAGAAAAGAAAAAAAAGTACAGTCAATTATCTAATATAAATACCAAATGGTATATTAATTTTCAATTTTTGAAATTTTTATAAATAAATAAATAAATTTGAACATTTAGTATATATTTTTAATTAATTTTAAATTTTAAATTTTAATCTTATTATCTTCTTATGGTGATCTCTTTTATATTAATATATAGTTGATTTTCTAATTATATTTAAAATACTAAATTTATTAAAACTTAAACACTATTTTATATGTTAACTTGGAAATATACAAAATAAACTTGAAGTTATCAATTCAACCTAACCAAATCAAAATTATTTTCTTAATTTGACATCTTCAAGTCAAAATTTATTAAAAATCACATAATTTTTTCAATTATTTTATTGAAATATAATGATTAATTTTTCAATTCATGATTTTTTTTTAGATTTTCGATATTCATAATTATTTATATTTTAATTATTTAAAATGAAATGAAATCAAATCGTATAAAAAATATAAGCTTTCTCAATATTTATTTTTTTATTTATAAAATTTAAAGTTAAAATCTTATTTAAAACAAATCAAATTTCCTACGACTGATGATTATTGCTTGAGTGGGGGAGGTGATTTCGCAATCTGGAAAATCAGAAATCAAATTAAAAATATATATATACTGAGGAATGCAAACGCGGAAAACGCGGGGCTGAGGTGGAAGAAGACAAAAACTGCCCGCCACTTAACACATCAATCATAGGCCTAGTTTTGACGGACAAAAATCGTGCTTTAAAAGGGTCGCCAAGGACAAGAAAAAGCTATATATGGAAAGAAATGTGAAAATAATGTTGCATATGGGTCGGTCCAAAAAAGATGAAAATTTTCAATTTTTTTAAATAATGTTATGCACTTGATTACTTTGTTTAAATAATAGTAATAAGCTATGTGAATAATTTTTTATAAAAAATGAGTAATTTTTGTGATTTTTCTCTTTCTAACACAAGTATGTTTAATTTTTTTATATATTTAAAAATTTGAAATTTCATACGGTATCTATTAAATATCTTGAATTAAAATATTATAAAGATCAATTATATATTAATATTCATAAATTATTCAAGTTTGATTTTAATAAAATTTAAATTTGATTAAATTACTATTAAGTTAAGCTTAAACAACTTGATTTATTAAACCAATCAAGTTTAAATTTTTTAATATTCGATTCAAATAGATTATGAATTTAATCGAGTTTAATCTTTATATATATACATATATGAATTCGAATTTAAATTCGAATAAAATAATCAAATTTGAAGTTAAATATAAAAATTAAATTTATTTTTTATTTGATAAATAAAATTAATCGAATAAATTTAAATAGCTCAACTTTTAATTTAATTTAATTTTAAAATTTAATCAAACTCAAATCAAATTTTGGACAATAAATTTTAAATTAAATTCGAGCTCAAATTTTTTTATTTTATTGACTTAACTCATTACACATTTACATATACTTTATGAAAAATAGAATTTACTAGTAAGAATCTAAACACTTGTTAAAAAGAGAAAAAAAAAATCTCCTCTAATCTACATCAGACAGGTAGTACAATCAAGGCTCTGGTAACTGACACGGCTTCAGTTTCGAGCTCTCCGGATGGTAAAGTCTTGACAATATTATCTGGAACTATTTTAACAGCGTGTAGATCGATCAACTTGACAAGATAATACCAACCATAAGCGTTCCATAGATCAGACATATAATCAATGTATTCTAGCCGGTGTTTAAAACTCTGACGCCTTCTTGGCTTAACGTCGAACTGGGGCCTTGACTTTTATGAAAATATGTTTTTCACTATAGTAACTTACTATTAGTATGATCTTGGGGCAGTATAACTTTTCTTTGGCTGAGGGAATGGGATCAATGATCTGTTTAACAGTTTAACAAGAATTTTTTATGTAAAGGATCCATAATATTATGGCAACTGCAAAGCATACTTAACTTGTATCACTATAAATTATGGAATAGCTTGAAGAAATTCATGAAGCTAAAAGATTTAACTATGGAAGAAGGAAGATGGAATTACCAAAAAAGAAGAGAGGTTTTTAGCTAAACATATTTTATAAAGAAATGTTTGTTACAAGGGAAGTCTTGATTGGGTTTTCTTCGATGATTTCTTTTTGGAGAAGTATCATCCTATTTATACAAAGAAAAAGTAAAAGAATAGTAACCTAATAGGACAAGGCTAGGACAAGACATAATTATAATTTTACAAGTGACTTAAGATAAAGTTAAAGTATGATGACTCATAACTATGGTACAATAACTCATCACTTATTTGACATAAAGTAAAGGTGACTCATCATGACTTAACTTAGACATAAAGTTGATGAAGACTTGACATAAAGTTATTTTGATGTTGAGGCATCATAATCAACTCTTTGGAGTCTTCTGGAGAAAATTAAAATTATCACTCGTAATTATACATAATTGGACTGGAACAGGGAATCTTCTATCTTGGATCACCATGAGTGTCTTTCTTTCATGAGCATCATTTGAGAAAACGATGAGTGTGTTTTGGAGAGAGGTTGAGGTGTGAGTTTTCTGCGCTTGGTGTGAAATCATATCCTATGTTTTCTAACCATTGATCTGGATCAAAATCTTTAAGAGGGTCTTGGAATTCTTGCCATTCCATTTGTAGTAGAACTTCAAGAGGTTTCCAGTAAGGATTCCATTCTACTGGTATTACATGGTCGAGTTCAAATCTGGTAGTTTCAGAAAGAGGTTCTGTCCAAGCACCATCAAGTCTGATTTCATAAATCTGTTTATCAATTTTAAGCTGGTAATTATATTTGAAGGATAGTTTCCCCATGGAACTTCATCTTGGAGCTCAGGCCAAATTTGCTTGAAAATTTTATCATTCATTTCACAAATTTATCTCTAAAATTCAGTGTATTCAGTGGGGTGATCAAACTGTGAATCAAACAACGAATATCCTTGAGAGCTGTAAATTACTACATAAGAGAAATACTGAGGGTTTTTTGTCAAACAGCTGCAAGATCTGTGAAAGATTAAAACAATATGAGAATTAGGTAAAACTTTTGTATATCTCTCATAGCTTTCAATCCATTGAATCCAAATGGGAATAGGTCTGAACCAGGTGAAGAAAAACTTGAGATGTTGTTGACTGGGGTCCAACTGGTGTTTGGTAGGGTTGATGGTTGACTGCTGAAAAAGGTGAAAAAGGGTTTTAAACTTTGGGAGTGGAAATTCTACAGCAATATGGTGAAGGTGACAAAGGTACCACATAAAACAAACTGTTTCTTTCGGGAAACAAAGAGGTTCAAAAAATTTAAAGGGATGGATGAAAGGATAGTCAGGGTGTATATCAAGAGATTTAATGGAGGTATTTTCAAACTTTTTAAATATTTTAGACTGGTATTTGAGAAAGAGGTGAGAGACTTTTTGGTCAAGGGTTTGAGTGGCAAGAAGTCTTGATAACTCGGAAGGAAGATTTTTCACTGAAAGGTTAAGAAATTCATCAGATAAATCAAATTCATCATCAAGGTGAGGTTTTTGAGAAAAAAAAAAAAGAAGGTTTTTTTAGGATGAGGCTTGTGAAGAAGAAGGTGTTGGGTTCATCATGAAAATGACTGAAAGAA